AGATGCTGCACCTACAAAGAACGACTGCTGGACTTTTCTCCACGATTTAAAACTCTCCATCAACTTGAATCGAATCTGGCACACACACACACACACATATATATATATATACACACACACACACAAACACACCACCTTTCTTCAAAAATTTCCGGGGGTTTTCTTCTTCTTTTTTTTTATAAAAGGAAAAGATAGAGAAAAGTAAGACGGTGGAGGGGGAAGATTAGAGGGGAGATTCTTATTTAGTCACAAGCCAAGGGCTGACGTGGCAGTTTTTAAGTGGTCGATACTTCATAAGACTCGGGAAAAAAATTTACCCAGGGCGCATGCATATTATGCTTTGAGTGGGAGAGCAATTCCTGTACAAAATATTGATACAATATATCCTAAGAATTTCATTTCGCATCGGAAATGGTTTGACTTGACCGCCGATACCAATTTCATCGCCCCCAAATCTGATGAAAAAAAATCAAAACAAATAAAAATAACTCTAAGATTTTATAAGAATCATTATTTAATTTGAAGAATATAGTTTATCCTCATGAATTTATACATCAATATATATATATATATATATATATATATATATATATGGTTGAAACATGTAGTAGCACGTATTTTAACCTCATAATAGACATTTATGCACACCCACATATATACTTAGACAAGAGAAAAATAATTAAGTTTAGAGAGAGAGAGAGAGAGAGAGAGAGAGGCACAAAGGAATTGGGTTTGGGGTTTCAGGTTTTTATAGGCAAACAATGCCTTGTGGACCGACACTTTATTGAGTATAACCAACCCGAAAACTCGTTCAACCATTCTTTATATTATATATATATATATATATTGTATAAGCTCGACGAATGACACACACACACATATATATAATATATATAATATGTATTACCATCTCTAAAATACTCTTCTGAGTTTCACTATACAAGGTATTTTTGTAATGTGAATCGTTTTCTAGCGGCAGATACTCTTGGTATATATAACCGTATAAAATCATTATTTTTTTAAATTAATATAACAACTAATTAAAGGTATTAATAATGAGAAATTTAATATTATATTTAAAATCTTAACTACAACTAAAAGATATAGGAAAACTTTAAAAAAAAAGAAGCCACAGGTGTAAACTGAGAAATCAATACACTTAAATATAAATTTTAGTTAATTTTTTTTTATAAACAAAAAATTGTAGTCAACCTAATTTAACATATTTTTAAATATCATTAAACGCAACAAAATTCACTATATTTTTTAGAATCACGCACACTTGGGGAGTTGGTATATATACATAGGACGCATACACACACGTGTGTGTGTGTATGCACATATATACGTATATGTTGTAATAATACACACAAGTGGGAGATTTTAGAGTTGATGAATACATGGTACAAACAAACAACTGGTCGAAAGAAGATTAGATTCTTTGTCTCCCACACACTTTCACCTGAAGACCATCGAAAAGCCTTCGTCCTAAAATCACAAAACAATCCACATGAATTTCATCTTTTTCCTTTATTTCTTTTTCATAAAGATGATTATTTCACTTTATTTTTTTTGGGCCGAAATAAAAAAATAACTCGAACAAGGCGAATAAAATATGTTCTTCCATGTATATGCATGTATATTGGAGTAATGATTATTGTCAAATTTATTAGTAAAAAACTTTACTTGGATTTAGATTTTTTTTTTTGTAATCTAGTATTAGAAGATTTTTCTTAGAAAAATCTAATACATATAGGCTATTTAACTAGTTTTCCAAAAAAAAAAAAGCTATTGGTATAAACGAGTGGTACTCAAATTAATCAAATAATATATTCATGCAATTGTTATATTATTTTGTACATATCAATCTTATACGTACCAAATAATCATACATCGATTAGAAAATTGACCACTTGGTTCGTCGTCTTTTATTGAATTATATTTATTTAACTTACGGCATTTAGATTCAACGTTACGGGTGGAAAGAAATCATGGGCGTGGAGAAATCAATAAAATTTGTCTTCTGTACGTTATGTTCATTATGCAATTCCGTAATATATATGGATACATACATCAATGTGGAATCCTCCTATTAACCAATCGATATTTCCATGTAAGCCCACAAAATAATCATACATTTCAAGACTTTTGCCTATGATGCTGACAATTTTAATTTAAATTTAAACCGGATCCAATTATTCTCTTGTATATTTCATATTTCCAATTTATTTTTATAATAAAGATTACATTTTTTCCCTCCAAAAGTTTATCGAAAACTTTATTCTCCCTTTCTTGTTTTAGTTTTGTCAATTTGATACTCTATATACTACAGAAATTTCGTCGCCTTTTGATGACTAAAAGAAATTATCATTAGCAATGATTTTGTCACATCGCTTGACTATATTTTTTTTTCTCACATATTGAATATAGTTTGGACAATTAAAATTTCATTTAATTACATGTGTAACTACAGAATTAATTCAACAGGAAAGGATAGACTTTCTTTTTGCATCACATGCGTATTAAGTTTCTGATTGATGGTAATAATGTAAATTCCACGCTTGGTTAACAATATTATATATATATAAAGTTTATAGGAAATATGGTATTAATTGGATTAGTACGATATTAGAGTTCGAGCTGTCTTATGTACTTTGCTGTTCAGGTCATGACTGACTGCAACTAAATTAAATTAATTAAATCAATTTTTATTATGTTTGAAAGCAAGACTACTAAATTATAAATCGTGGACCGTGTAAAAAAAATGATAACAAAAAACAGTAGATAATTATTTTATTTGAAAGTGGAGCTATGTGCACGTATCATGGCCGACAACCTGGTACCTTTTCGTGGCGGTCCACATTTTCATAATTTATACTTTGTCTATATACCCTCCCTATCTTCTTATTTATTACCCTTTTGCCAAAACCAAAAACAAAATACTTTTTTTTGTTTATTTTACAAATATTTTTTTTATCATAAATTTAAGTTTATGTAAAACATTTTAAAATAAATTCAGTCAAATATTACATACTAAATATACAAAAAATGTATTAAAGAAAAAAAAGTAAATAATCGAGATTCTTAAATCTATAAAACTATAATAATATATCTATATAATTTTGTTTATTTTAATGTATTCATCTACTAAATATCAGCAAATGCTCATAAATCTCGACTACAATGCTAAAATAAAAGAAGAACGTTGGATGTATTTTATAGGATGCTTGATCGTCTAATACAATTAATTATTTTTTAAACCATAAAATGAAATTTGAATCCTAAATATTCAATTTTTTTATATCCAATCCTAAATATTCATTCTGTTGCATATACATACATATATTTATATACATGTATGTATGATAACATGAATTATCGATCACTTGGCACTAATAAAATAAACAAAAAAAATGTAAGCTTTGAAACCGCATAAATATTTCTGTTCCTATCGTCCTATTAATTGTACTGAAAATTGTTGATATTATAAGTTAAAGATTCTTATAATATAAATTATTTTAGTCTTTTAGATATTAATTTTCAGGAGTTAAAAGGTATTTTATACGGATATTGTAGCCATTAATAATAAAAATGTGTTCCTTTTTATGCGTACGAAAGACTCTTTGGTTTTACTTGAGAAACAAAAAAGTATTGGATTGGAAAAAAATATGATAGAGAAAAATGTTTCATTTCTTAAGATATATTGAGTACAATTTTCATATTTGTTTTAGTTAATCATATTAAAAAGTTCACAAAGTTTTACATTTAATGAAATTTAAACAATAATGAATAGAAGATTTTGATCCTATATATAAATATAAATATATCGATATGTCCCTTGGCTGTTTTCGATCCAAAACCATGGGCTGGTCAGAGAGATGAATGATAATATATACTATAAACAATTACGAAGGTAATTGGTTCATTAATCAATGCGTGATTTGGTGACAGACATTTAGGATTTGGAGCGCACGTGTTAGCGAAGTCATCGCCAGCCTGGTATTGTAAAGATTTCATGTAATTATGTATTCTTTAATATATTATATGCTTCTTTTTTTTTAAATTCAAAAAGCATGGACTTTTTTTTTTAATTAAATCCCGACTTTATAACCTTAATTTCCTTCTACTAAACTTTTTTTGTAATTAATAAGATTGCTTCAACCCTTCGTTTTCTAAAGCATTTATTTTAGCAAGTTCTTGATTCTAATTAGTCTCTTAAAAAAGGCTCAAAATTTAATAAAATTTATATTTCCAACACGCGGTTTCCGACAACCCGAAACTTCCTAGCCCAAAGATATAAACATATATATATATATATATATATATATATATATATATATAATCCTAAAGAGTAACTACTTAGGGTAACGTAAAGGGAAAATCATCCAAATAACTCACTTGGGTCGCATCTATTTCAGTGTACACCACCCAAAAAAAAAAAATCAATTTTAACCCACTTTTCGGTGAGAAAAGTCTGAAATACCCTTTTCGTTTTATTTTTGGCGACTTTATTACGACTAACATATAACTGATATACAACTAAAAATAAGACAGATAATTTTTTGCCACCTTTTTTAGAAATTTAGGTTTTGTAATTTTAGTATTATACCTGCTTATTTAATTATTTTATTTAAAAAGAATACACAAATTTGGGCCTCCAAATGGTGACATAGCGGAGTCGGCCTATTACTAAAATCAATTTTATAAATTGGCCCAATAATTTCTTTAGGCCCATTTTTTAATTCGTGGGCTTAGACCGAAGAAAGAGAATGAATCTAACCCAAAAAAGGGAGACATGCTTTTATCAGGAAGATGACAAAGGTTTTCTTATAAAATAATGAAAGTATATGGGAAAAAATGTTACTGAATAAATTGAATTCCGACTTTAAATGCGGGAGACGAGAATTACTAAAACACCCCTACCCGCGTCCATCATGGTAATTGGAATTTGGAAGGGGTGAATAGGTAATTTGACACGGTAGAACTTCATATTCCCGGTGCGGTAGATGGATTCACAGACAGAGCACCGTAACCATCATTATCTTCGTGATCGCTTCCCAACGCAATCTTTTCGATTTTGGGTCAGAGAATTCGGAAATTTTGGACTCTGATTCGGTCTCTCTCTGCGATTCATGTCGGCGAATTCCCTCCGCCGTCTCGCCGTCGTCATTGCCGCCGCGTCCGGCGGTGCCGTCTACCTGACGCCATCAATCGCCTCCAGCGACAGAGGTGGTGGTCGAGGTTCGGTTTTGGAGTCACTGAAGCGTCGGATTGGTGATCCGAGCGCTACGGTTCCGTCGCGATCCGTTCAGGAGTCTGCTTTGATTGGAGCGAGCTTCTCGAATCCGCTTGATATCCTCATCATCGGCGGTGGGGCCACCGGTTGTGGAGTGGCTCTCGACGCTACTACTCGTGGCCTTCGGGTTGGTCTCGTCGAGCGTGAGGACTTCTCCTCGGGGACGTCTTCGCGATCAACAAAGCTAATCCATGGAGGTACAGAGTTCACGCGTTTGAATTTGTAATATGCTTTTGCTCAGAATTCTGGTGAATATCTGGATTTCTGGAATCATTGGTTGGTTGATCACCTGTATTTGAATGGTATACTCATCAAGGCGCGAATTGGTGTCTTTTAGTTGGAGAAAATGCTACTACTGTCTGTTTCATACCTGAGAATGTGGTCATGAATCATTGCTATATAGTTAGGCTCTAGATTAAGGAATGGCAAAATTTGTAGAGTTCTCTTCATTGGAGCTGGTGAGTTGCCACTCTGGCATCAATGTCTATCAACTACCTCAAGTGTCAAATCCTTATTGTATCGTTTTTGCTGCTGAGAATGAGAAGCAACCTTTTAGCTATCCGGAAAATATATGTTTGGCCTCAATTAAAATGTTTGATTTACGTGCACATAGCTGGGTATTTCTCTGATATTACATGCACCCTCAAGGTCCTGTTTTAACAGAAATATAGTCAAAGAAGCAGCGCCATGTCCGGATGATACTCTCTATTAGATTTCACTGGTGTATTTGATATTTTTGTATCTCAAGTTTTTATTTTAATGATCATTTTGCATTATTTGATAGGGGTTCGTTATTTGGAGAAAGCTGTTTTCAATCTTGATTATGGACAGCTGAAGCTAGTATTCCATGCACTCGAGGAGCGTAAGCAGGTCATTGACAATGCACCACATCTCTGCCATGCTCTGCCCTGTATGACGCCTTGTTTTGACTGGTTTGAGGTAATCTACTACTGGATGGGATTGAAAATGTATGACTTGGTAGCAGGAGCACGCTTATTGCACTTGTCCAGATATTATTCTGCACAAGAGTCTGTTGAGCTCTTCCCCACTCTTGCAAGGAAGGGCAAAGACAAGAATTTGAAGGGAACTGTTGTCTATTATGACGGTCAAATGAATGATTCACGTCTTAATGTTGGTTTGGCATGTACTGCTGCATTAGCTGGTGCTGCAGTACTCAACCATGCAGAGGTTGTCTCACTTATTAAGGACGATGTTACTCAGAGGATAATTGGTGCACGAATTCGTAACAATCTATCAGGTACAAGGATATGCATACTTATTTTTCTATTAGCGGTTTTGCTTAGTACATATGTTTATAGGTCACTTCTTTAAGATTGCAATGGTATAGTTTTGCATATGTTTTGACCTGCCGTACTTTTGTTAGGTTGTAATTGCTAATTTCTATTGATTTCTGTTTCATCTCAATAGGCCAAGAGTTTGACACCTATGCCAAAGTAGTCGTGAATGCGGCTGGACCATTTTGTGATGCGGTTAGGAAGATGGCTGATAAAGAGGCGAAACCAATGATATGTCCAAGCAGTGGTGTACATATTGTCCTGCCTGATTACTATTCTCCTGAAGGAATGGGCTTGATAGTTCCTAAAACGAAGGACGGTCGCGTTGTCTTCATGTTACCTTGGTTGGGACGAACAGTGGCAGGCACTACAGACTCTAACACTGAGATCACTTCGCTTCCAGAACCTCATGAAGACGAAATTCAATTCATACTCGATGCAATATGTGACTACCTTAACATCAAGGTATGTAAAACCTGGCATCAGATGATTAACTATTCGTCAGAACATGCTATGATCAACACAGAGATCACGTCTCTAAGCAATTTACCCAATCCTTTATGATTTTTTTCCCATTCTGCATCATTTTCTTTGAAAATGTAGTTCAGGTTATGTAAGTTATGAAAATTTTATAGGTTCGACGCGCTGATGTTCTTTCTGCTTGGAGTGGAATTCGTCCATTGGCCGTGGACCCATCAGCAAAGAGCACAGAGAGTATCTCCAGAGATCACGTTGTCACTGAGGATAGTCCTGGTTTAGTTACAATCACGGGTGGAAAGTGGACTACATATCGAAGGTAAGATTTTCTAGTTACAAGCAATCAAGTTCCTTCCTGTTCTCTTCTTCCTCTCGTATGCTCACTTAGAACTCTTTTCAGCATGGCAGAAGATGCAGTCGATGCAGCAATCAAATCTGGAAAACTGAACCCTACCAACGAGTGTATAACCCAAACGCTACAGCTAGTGGGTGCTTACGGATGGGAACCATCATCTTTCACGGTCCTCGCCCAGCAGTATTTGCGCATGAAGAGAACCTACGGAGGTAAATTCGTCCCGGGGTCAATGGACACCACCGCTGCCAAACATCTATCTCATGCTTATGGTACAATGGCTGGACGCGTTGCAGCGATAGCTCAGGTTGGTCCATTTTTTCTCTCTCTGATGAAATGGGAATTATATTAATCAGAAGCTTTCTTGAATTTTTTTTATACAATACGAAACACATCAGAACTAACCAAAATGGGGTCACCATTTCGGATTTCGGTTTTATAAAAACTCTAATCATTCGCTTTTTATTGATTAAATACTCATTTTTCAAAGAAATTTTAGGTTAATTTTTTATCCATGTCAGATTTGAGTTTTTCGGTTTTAGAGAAATCATGGTTATTCAATTTTTACATAGGATCCGATTCAGCTGCGTGTGTGTTGTTAGATTCGAATTGTTTCGGTTATTTGATTATTAACCAAAAGATACATTTCCATATGGGTGAACAAACAAAGCAACATCAGCTCAAGTTGGTCAATGTTTAATCTTATTTGTTATTATGATACCTTCTCCTATGAATTTATGTTTGGATATTTCCAGGACGAGGGTCTTGGAAAACGACTGGCACACGGGTACCCATTCCTTGAAGCAGAGGTCGCCTATTGCGCAAGGCACGAGTTCTGCGAATCGGCAGTAGATTTCATCGCGAGGAGGTCACGGCTGGCGTTCCTAGACACAGATGCGGCGGGAAAGGCGTTGCCGAGGGTGATAGAGGTACTGGCGACCGAACACAAGTGGGACAAGTCGAGGCAGCAACAGGAGATGCAAAAGGCCAAGGAGTTTCTTGAGACATTCAAGTCATCCAAGAACGCTCAGTTCCATGACGGCAAACACTGAAATCTACAACCAGAAAAAAAAGGCAAGTCCATAATCCATTTGAACATTTTCTTCCGCAATGTTTGCTTCCTTTTATAGGGTCTGGATTCTAGAACGCAACGGTGCATTTCAATAATATGCTTGATATATATATGAATCAAGCTCCGATTCTTTGACTCAAATGCTATGGAATCAAAATGAGAATTTTAGATTTTCCCTTTCTGATTTTACAAATGGGATTACATGTTCGATGTCAAAGCGAATGCTCCTTTAGCACATTCCAACCAAAACCCACGTAGCTGAAAACGAAATTTCAAAAGCCCAACCCGAGTCAAAAGACCATGTTACTAAAAACATCCTTATGTTCAATTCCGACAATACGCAGCTCAATCACCACAAACAAACGCAATCCAGAAACCGAGGAATCGAACTCGAGAAACAGCAGATTTTCGAAGACCATTGGGAGGAGGAAGAATGCATTTCTAATACAACGTTGTCGCCACTCAAGCCTCGAATCAACGGCAAGAAGAGTCAAACACGTCGAATTACGAGAAACTTCTCTTGGTGCTCCATTGGCGGCGAGACACTTGGCAGAAAAATGAAGGATTAAGAAAAAACCTCGTCCGAATCTGATGACCGCGTTCTTGATCACGAGAGGAAAAAAGAAACCTTTTTTGGGAAAATGACGAAGAAACGGAAAAATCCACGTGTTTTATTCTCACGAGTTTTGGTTTCCCCGACGTTTCCTCTGTTATTTTGTGCAGTTTCTTCTCATTGAGGGTGCAATTTGTAATTAAACAAATATTAGTGGTGGATTGTAAAAGCAAACAAAAGTGGGGAATTTGCACCTAAACAAGGATAGGTTTAACTGAGTAACCAAACATTCCGTTTCTTCTTCCTTCCTCCTCTCCCTTTGTCTTCTTGCTCACTTCTTCTCTCCTCTTCCCATTCGATTTTCTCTCTCCTGCAGTTTTCCCGCGAACTGTTGAGCGAGCTAACGATGAACCCACCTGACCAGAACCAAGGTCATTTACCTTCGATTTCTTTCCCCCAATTTTCGACCTACCCTTCGCCGGCGAGCTCGAACCCTAATTCCGAAACCGGTTTGACACCTTTTCCGAATTCGATCTCCAACTCTATCTCAAACCCTAGTTTTGAGCAGATTGTATCTTTCTCCGCGCCGAAGAAACGGAGGAGAGGCCGTTCGCAGCGCACGACCTCTTTTCTTCTCCCTTCATTGCCTAATCTTGCTCCCCTCTCCGTCAACAGTAATTTCGCATCGTCTTCAACCTCTGTTTCGGCTGCTTCAGGTAGAGTGAATGTAGATGGCCAGGATTCTAAAAAACCACCTGGGATTGGTGATGAGATCATCACGATCAACAAGGAGGCCACGTCTGAAGCTTTGATCGCTCTCACAGCTGGGTTTCCTGCGTCGACAGTT